TCCCCCGGACGTTCATAAAATCAAATCTGTCTGCCGCAGCGGAGCGGCAGAACCACGTGAAAGTCCGTAAGAAGTGGGGGGCCCCGGAGCCGTAGTCCGGAACCCCCCCTCCCCCTCCTTCGTTCTTAAACCTGGTCCTCCTCGGCAGGTTGCGCAAGATGCGAAAGTTTCTTCCGCGAGGAAAGTTTTGAATATTCAATACTCGCCGTGGCACGAGCGCAACGCGTCTCGACGTCGTCGGGGGGTTGCTAGAGGAAGGGGTAGCAGACGGTTGGTTGCGGGTACCGGAGAGCAATTTCATTTTTCCTATTTTGTTCGCGGCGGATTCGGCGATGCTAGGCACAGCCTACCAAGAATCGAGAGGAGAGAGAGAGAGGAGGAGGGAGAGAAAGAAAGAGAGGGAGAGAGAGAGCAAGAGAGAGTGTGAGAGAGCGAGAGAGAAAGCGATAGAGAGCGGGAGAGAGCGAGAGAGAAAGCGATAGAGAGCGGGAGAGAGCGTGAGAGAGTGAGAGAGGAAGCGATAGAGAGCGGGAGAGAGCGAGAGAGAGAGAGAGCGGGAGAGAGAGAAAGAGAGGGAGAGAGAGAGCGAGAGAGAGTGCGAGAGAGCGAGAGAGAAAGCGAGAGAGAGCGGGAGAGAGCGTGAGAGAGTGAGAGAGGAAGCGATAGAGAGCGGGAGAGAGCGAGAGAGAGAGAGAGCGGGAGAGAGTGAGAGAGAGCGCGAGAAAGAGCGAGAGGGAGCGGGAGAGAGCGAGAGAGAGCGGGAGAGAGAAAGAGAGGACCAGGGTATTTTCTATTCACGGTGCGTCTGGGATCCCGCAGCTAGCCCCCTCTCACTCCTTCTTCAACCCCCGCGAGATCCTCTGGCGAGACACGTCGAGCCAGGTCTCCGGGAGGGTTAGATGTTTTCGATGAATCGATTCGAGGGTACTTCCGCTATGCAAACTCTCTTTCCGCCTGGGAGTGCTCCGGCCGATCCAACGCCACCCCTTTGGACAGCCTAGGCGCACTCTCCACCCCTGGACCTCGACGAATCAACGGAGTTAAGGCTGCACCCCATGCGACCGTCCTCAACTTTCGGTAACGAGGTTCCCCTAAATTACTATCAGTCAGTCCCACGGCGTGTGATCTCCAGCCGGTGCGACGATACATCCGGGAAAGAATGAGGATTTTGCGTCTTCGGGAATGGACGTCAGGGTTTGAACCATGATTAGGTTATTTTAGTTAACGACAGTAAGCGTTTACCACTACAGGTTGTTGATGTTAATGTTAATGTTCCTAGATTTTTATGCAAAAATAGTGGTGTAACTTATAAGTTGCATTCTTTAATTACTAATTTTAATAGGAAGACAATGGTGTATCGACATTGTTTAACTTTTTCATAAATACGTAAAATCCGAAGTTTTGTCATTATGAAAACCACCTTTAAAACACTCGTCAAGGTCATCGTGTATTTCTGCAAAAATATATTCATCCGAAAACATTAATACGAGGAAACATTAAGTGTCCAAGTTGCGGAAAAATAGTACTAAAAGTAGCAAGGACTATGTAATAGTTTTAATTATTATCCGAACTTCTATGTCACTTTGCTTAGCTTGTATTTTATCGGGACTCTGCTGTAGCAGAAAGTAATGAAATGTGTTATTATCGAATTCTTGAAGAGCTTCGAGGCTGCACAGAAAGGAGTGCCAATTAAATCTTTCTTCAAGGTTAAACTGCAGTTTTTTATGCATGTATGAAAAAATCAAAGAATTGAAGACGCAGACCCAAAATTTGTGTTTTACATGAGGATCCTCGGTCTCTTCGCGGCGATAACAATTGAAAGCTCTTCAATGGAATTCGCGATCGGCTGATCGAGCATCGATGACAGAAGCAGCGTCGCAAGCGTCTCGAAATTCTTCCGCGTTCAGGTAATTATGGTTCGGCCCGCCGCAAGCTGATCATCTAATGGAAAATGACGAAGGTGAAAAAGGAGGATCCTGGTGGTGCATGAAAATATAATTAAATCTTGTTCACGCGGTCTGCGGCCTCCGGTGTCCTCCGTCGCTGTTCGGTGTCGTCATATCCGGCTCCGACGCGGCCATCGTCGCCATCTTTGCCACTCGTCCGAGACCTGGAGAGACTGATCTAATTACGGCCAGTGAAATGGAATCAGTATGCTGAAAGGGAACGGCTGGGTAGCGCGATAGTGGCTGACCAACGCGTTGCAACGGTGTACAAGATAAGAGGATACGCGTGTTTCCCTTAAATTTTCTATCAGGACCTCGACTTTTTCTTGCCTACATCGGCGTTTATATTATATTCGATGACGGAACACGCCGTATTGTCTCGAAAGAGCACGACGCCGCAGGTAAATGCTCGCGGAGAGGGTAATTCGATTAACTCGGCGCACTTTGAACGAGAAACGCCCACGCTGGCACCTCCGCGATGCTGTTTAAAGCGCAATCGACGCTCCCCTTTGAGGACGTTTCATGTGTCTCCGGTTTCAAAGTAAATCTTGAATAAGAGACCCAAGCCCTGCACTCTGCCAGCCTTTCCCGATTCACGGCAGAGCGAGGATCGGCGTAGCGCGGAATTTGTCACGGATAAATAGGTAATCCTGCACCGTTCACTCTGGAACGGGCTGCGACGATCGCGCTTCGCGATATTTGTGAATTCGTCCGACAAAAGCTGCTGTCAACCTTCGCCAATATTCTCGAACGAATGACGGAATTTAAGCATTTCTTTTTTTGTCTATTTATTGTCCCCGATTCTGGTCGCAACTGTTTTCGTTCAATTGTGTGCAAGAAATTGCTCGATTGAGTTCTCCTGTTATTAATGTTCTCAAAAATCCTCCAATACCTTGGTTTCTTGACTTCTTAACCCTTTCGCTACGGCAGCTCCATCCGCCGAAGTACCGTCACTGAACGGAAACCCGCTCCAGAAATATGCACGGTGCGCGTGGTTTCTGTATATATGTTGTTCTAAGTCTTAAATAATAACTGTGCCGAATAAAACAATCGTTGCTCCAATGTAACAAGTATATTTACATTTTTAATTTAAAAAGACTTGCAAAATTATAGGTAACATAGGTATTTATATAATTACAAAGCCTAACGATTAAATGTTTAATATAATTAATAACGAGACAAAAATTATTAAAATATAATAATATGTAAAAACTAATAATATAATTCTGTGTGATATATTTGAAAGCAAGGATCTATACAAAGGCCATTCTTTTATCATTTTTGCTACAAATTACACATCTGCGTCTTCTGTATACACTTCATTTCGATGCCGCATATACAGGATGTCCCAAAAATGTCTCGCAATCCGGAAATGGTGGATTCCTTAGGTTATTTGAAGTAACTTTTTCCTTAGCGAAAATGCAAACCGCGGCTTCGTTTACGAGTTATTAATGAAAAACGTCAGGCCGCCGAGCCAATCAGCGGAACTGGGATTCAACCGCTCGACCGCTGGCGCCGTTGGCTCGGCCGCCTCGCGCCGGCTGAGCTAGGATTCGACCGCTCGACCGCTAGCGCCGTTGGCTCGGCCGGCTCGCGCCAGCTGAGCTGGGATTCGACCGCTGGACCGCTGGCGCCGTTGGCTCGGTCGCCTCGCGCGAACCGAACTCGCCTCTTATTGATCACTGTTTTTCGTTGATAACTCGTAAACGAAGCCGTGGTTTGCATTTTCGCTAAGGAAAAAGTTGCTTCAAATGATCTCAGGAACTCTCCATTTCCGGATTACGAGACATTTTTGAGACACCCTGTATGCGGCGCCCGTACCCACAGGTCGTCGAGTGGATGCCGCATATATGCGGCGCTCGGCGCGAAAGGGTTAATGGATTCGTCGTCAATGCCAGAACATGATATTTCGTAATTCTTTTTACTCACTTACAGTTCTCATTTCTAATCGCAATTTTGTTATAAAGCAGGATACTTGCACTAACAACACTTTGAACAGTTATTTTGAAAGGTCCTATTCTATGTGTGAAAAAAAGTATGAACAATTTTTGACACCTTTGTAATCCGCATCGTTAGGCACACCTTTTTATATAACATATTTTGTGTTTCGAGCGTGGCGTTATTTCGTGCAATTTTTGGACTCTGGCTCGATGAACCAATGTGTCGAGCTGGTGTTAAAACGCTGGTACTAGTTCACGCTCGTATTTTGAAATGGCCGTCAACTATGGCCTGCAGGAGCCGAGAAAGTGGCCGGCAAAAGCCTGTTCGGAAGTTCCGTGCTGAAGCGTATCGCATCGTATCTGCATTTAATCTGTATCTGCCCAAGATCTTCTAGCTCATCTTTCACATCGACTACCAATCTCTACTCTTTGGAATTTTCAGTGCGATAGGAACTCCCACCAGCCAATACAGATATTGGTCAAAACACCGCCCAGCAGATTGTTGTAAAGAATGGAAAGTTTGGGGCCTCGGGTTTTTTCCAATTCCGCTGGTCTGCCTGGGGTCCATGTGTACGCCACATGTTCCAACGGGTGGTCAGGAGAAACTCCAGGGGTCCGACCTGGAGTTTTCCTGTTTATGGTGAACATGAGCTTAATTGCCGAGACAGATTCTTGAGCTTAAAAAATACCTACAGAGTCCCGTCCGGCCATAAAAGAAACCTTACGTTTCTAAGCACTTAGAATTCTAAACATTTTGTGTATCCAGTTACATCTAAGAATTCTAAGAATATTTCCAGCGGCATTCTTCCGTTAACATTTCAAAGGCTTGCCCATCATCTTGGTCCTTTCTTCATCCTTGTTAGCAGATCATGGATTTTCCTCGCCGCGATAGAGAGATTTCCAGCAACTGAAAATCGATTTTCTCGATCAGCTTATAATCGCGATTTATCGTCAACGAGATCCGCCCGCGGCGCAAGTAATCGGACTGCATACACATTTATCGTCGTTTCCGATAATCAGGAATTGATAAAGATTATTCGTCGAATTCAACGATAAGCCGGCGATATTAAAGTATACACTCGTTTTCGCGAACATTATTCGTTTGTTAGTCTCCGTTCGAACCAGAGCGAACGCTTTCAATCGCGAACGACTCTAGTGAATCGTGTGGATCGTGATCGTGATCGTGATCGTTTCTTAGGTGAACATTCCATCTGTGAAAAGCATCGATTATGGCGAGTCAAGCGATACCTATGTCAGATTATCCTAGGCAAACCAATCCTGCGACTGCAAATACTGTGACTGTCATCCAAATGCCACCAGCACAGAGGCCCTTCTTTAAATGTACACGAGGTACGGATCAATTTGTTTTTCTACAACTTAGAGCAGAATCGTAGACTTTAATCATTTGCACTCGAGCGATGACTCTGAGTCACCACTGGATTTGATGCGACAACTCGAGAAGTGATTCTCGGTCTTGGTGACTCGAGCGGTGACGATGTTTACAGTAAATTCTCCCTAATTCGCGCTCAGATTGTCCACAAAAATGGACAATTTGGGAAGAGGAGATACGATTATTCGAGCCTTGCGGCTCGTTTTTTATAGTCGTTGACAATCGGTAACTATAAAGACTAGCTATAAGTCTAGATAGCATTATACAGAGTGTCCCAAAAATGTCTTGCAATCCGAGAATGGGAGGTTCCTGAGGTAATTTGAAATAAGTTTGTCCTTGGCGAAAATGTAATCCACGGCCTTTGTTTACGAGTTATTAACGAAAAAGAGTGACCAATGAGAGGTGAGATATGCTGGCGCAAGGCGGCCGAGCCAATGAGCGGAACTGGGCTTCGCGCGCTCATTGGCTTGGCCGCCAAGCGCTAGGCGAGCTCGCCTCTCATTGGTCAGTGTTTTTCGTTAATAATTCGTAAACGAAGCCACGGGTTGCATTTTCGCCAAGGAAAAAGTTACTTCAAATGATCTCAGGAACTTCTCATTTCCGGTTTGCGAGACAGTTTTTGGACAGCCTGTAATAGAAGGCCCATAGAAGGCCTAATATAGAATTAGGGAGAATTTACTGTATCTGTGTTCGGTTTCTTTGGAACTCGAAGCATGATTTGGCGCTATCGCTTCATAAACTGCATTTGTAATCTCTTTGTGTATAATCTTATGATATATATTGATCGAATGATACGCTTTGAAATGGATCTAAGATCTTATCTCAAATTAATCGGTGATCATTCCAACTCGACAGTCGTGACAATAGCATATTATTCTCGAAGTTTTCGAGCCCTATAAGCATGGAATGTGGTAACGAAATTTAGTTTAAGTGAGGATGAGTTTGATATTTCGTTGTTGAAGAACGAAATTATGCTATGCAGATAGAAAGGACTTGACGATAGAAAGGAGACAGTGATGAAATAAGAGACGTAAAAAGGCGAGAAATTAAGGCAATAGAGAGTGAATGCGGCGGAAGCTATTTTTGGGGGTTTAGAGATCTGTTCTATCAATTGTTATATTCTTTATAAATCAGTGAAGTAGCAGAGAAATGAATGGCCCCTTACTTATCAGCGGTATGTAAAAACTTTGGTTGACCAATAGAGAGGAGATTTTCGTCATCGAGTCTCGACATCGAGTTTCTACTTCGACCTGCAGTTTTAATGAAATCCGATTGAATTGGAAGCTACATGTTACGCTAATAGAAGTTAGGAAGGATTGCAATGTTTGCTCTCAACGGAATAAGCCTGGCGAAATACGCCAAACCACATATTTTTGCGATACTTGTCCCGACTAGCCGAGGATGCATCTTAGAAACTGTTTTATAAAATATCATACAAAGCAACGATACAGAGTTTAGTGTTCCACAAATTTCCTTCTTTGATGTATAAAAATGCATAAAATATTAAAATATAAAAGTATCATACGTTAATTCGTGTGTGAAATCATTTTAAGATAGCTGCAAGAGAAATTCACCAAATATGCGAAAAATTACCAAATGAAACTCGGATAATTACCTCGAAAAAACGTGCTAAACGAAGCTTACTTTCAACACGTTAATATTTTCGTTCTAGCTGCCAAGATTGCCACAGCCATCGTAATAGCAGGCATAGTGATCTTAAACATCCTGAGAGTCTGCCTTCTGTAAAATGGAGAATATATTTCTACCGAGAATCGAGGAGATGGATAATCTACCGAATTTTGGAGTTTGTGTTCTACTATCACTAGACACAGTCGATTCAATTACTAAGCTCGTCGGCCTGCTGGAACCACGCGAAATCTCCCAACCAGCATAATCTCAAACTACTTATGATGAGAACAATACAAGTGTATAATAAGTGTATAATATAATGAGTCGCTCCAACCGAACCATCGAGCAAACTGTCAATCAATTTACCAAATTCATCGATCTCTCCGAACTATATATAGGGTATGTATTACTTTCTGCAGTCCGTCCAACGAGTCGAGAAATTAGAAGTAAGCGAGAAGTTAACGTGATCGTTGCAATTTAAGCGAAACTTTAGCTCTGGAATTTCATTTAGACATCTAAATTATTGTTGTTCTCATATTGAGAACAAATAATCCCTTATTCGGAAAAATAGCTTCTTATTTCCTTACATTTTTGCTTATCTAAAATTATATGCGTCAATCACATCCGGTTGCCCTATCTAACCTCTCGCCTCGTTGATCGGACTATAGTACTCCTAACATAAACTATACAGGGTACGTATTACTTTCTGCAGTCCGTCCAACGAGTCGAGAAATTAGAAGTAAGCGAGAAGCTGTCTCTTATACACATCTAGATGTGTATAAGAGACAGAATAATCCCTTATTCGGAAAAATAGCTTCTTATTTCCTTACTTTTTTGCTTATCTAAAATTATATGCGCCAATCACATCCGGTTGCCCTATCTAACCTCTCGCCTCGTTGATCGGACTATAGTACTCCTAACATAAACTATACCTGTCTCTTATACACATCTAGATGTGTATAAGAGACAGAATAATCCCTTATTCGGAAAAATAGCTTCTTATTTCCTTACTTTTTTGCTTATCTAAAATTATATGCGCCAATCACATCCGGTTGCCCTATCTAACCTCTCGCCTCGTTGATCGGACTATAGTACTCCTAACATAAACTATACCTGTCTCTTATACACATCTAGATGTGTATAAGAGACAGAATAATCCCTTATTCGGAAAAATAGCTTCTTATTTCCTTACTTTTTTGCTTATCTAAAATTATATGCGCCAATCACATCCGGTTGCCCTATCTAACCTCTCGCCTCGTTGATCGGACTATAGTACTCCTAACATAAACTATACCTGTCTCTTATACACATCTAGATGTGTATAAGAGACAGAATAATCCCTTATTCGGAAAAATAGCTTCTTATTTCCTTACTTTTTTGCTTATCTAAAATTATATGCGCCAATCACATCCGGTTGCCCTATCTAACCTCTCGCCTCGTTGATCGGACTATAGTACTCCTAACATAAACTATACCTGTCTCTTATACACATCTAGATGTGTATAAGAGACAGAATAATCCCTTATTCGGAAAAATAGCTTCTTATTTCCTTACTTTTTTGCTTATCTAAAATTATATGCGCCAATCACATCCGGTTGCCCTATCTAACCTCTCGCCTCGTTGATCGGACTATAGTACTCCTAACATAAACTATACCTGTCTCTTATACACATCTAGATGTGTATAAGAGACAGAATAATCCCTTATTCGGAAAAATAGCTTCTTATTTCCTTACTTTTTTGCTTATCTAAAATTATATGCGCCAATCACATCCGGTTGCCCTATCTAACCTCTCGCCTCGTTGATCGGACTATAGTACTCCTAACATAAACTATACCTGTCTCTTATACACATCTAGATGTGTATAAGAGACAGAATAATCCCTTATTCGGAAAAATAGCTTCTTATTTCCTTACTTTTTTGCTTATCTAAAATTATATGCGCCAATCACATCCGGTTGCCCTATCTAACCTCTCGCCTCGTTGATCGGACTATAGTACTCCTAACATAAACTATACCTGTCTCTTATACACATCTAGATGTGTATAAGAGACAGAATAATCCCTTATTCGGAAAAATAGCTTCTTATTTCCTTACTTTTTTGCTTATCTAAAATTATATGCGCCAATCACATCCGGTTGCCCTATCTAACCTCTCGCCTCGTTGATCGGACTATAGTACTCCTAACATAAACTATACCTGTCTCTTATACACATCTAGATGTGTATAAGAGACAGAATAATCCCTTATTCGGAAAAATAGCTTCTTATTTCCTTACTTTTTTGCTTATCTAAAATTATATGCGCCAATCACATCCGGTTGCCCTATCTAACCTCTCGCCTCGTTGATCGGACTATAGTACTCCTAACATAAACTATACAGGGTACGTATTACTTTCTGCAGTCCGTCCAACGAGTCGAGAAATTAGAAGTAAGCGAGAAGTTAACGTGATCGTTGCAATTTAAGCGAAACTTTAGCTCTGGAATTTCATTTAGACATCTAAATTATTGTTGTTCTCATATTGAGAACAAATAATCCCTTATTCGGAAAAATAGCTTCTTATTTCCTTACATTTTTGCTTATCTAAAATTATATGCGTCAATCACATCCGGTTGCCCTATCTAACCTCTCGCCTCGTTGATCGGACTATAGTACTCCTAACATAAAATTTCTGAGACGGGTTCACGACCGTCAACGATCGAACTGTAAATCAATTAACCGAATCCATGAACCTCTTCGACCAACAGCGGTAGGCAGAACGAGCGTAATCTCTAAGTACTCCGCGCGTATTCGGAAGTATTCCCAATCGGGTCCCGATGCGCTCCGGGCATTCGCTCAAGGCGGATCCGCTCAGACATCGGCGAGACGACGAGATCGGCGCGGTAAGGCGATACGAGGCGATACGAGGCGATGCGTGGCGAGGCGAGGCGAGGCCGTCGACTCTGTCGTCGCGACGCTGAGTAATTACGGCTCATACCGGAGGCGCGTCGACAGACGAAGCGGCGCGGTGTCGGCGTTGGCGTCGGCGTCGGCGTCGGTGTCGGCGTCGGTCCGTTCGCGCCGCCGATTGGAGCTTGGCTGTGTAAACGCGAGCGGAACGAGCCAGCCCGTGCGTGGCACGCGTGTGTGCGTTAACATAATGCATCGAGCAGACGTTGCTTTGATGTCAAGTATGAATTCCGAAGCTGCGAGCAGCTGCGGATACGAGCAAACATCCTCGGAGGGTCGCGGCAGCTGCCGGTTTCGTGCGCGGAGCCGGGTCGCGCGAGTACACGCTGAATTCCGGCGAGTGCGTCGCGACGCTCGGCGTCTCCGACCTCGTCCCGTCTCGTCCCGACGCGACGCGACGCCCTGAGAACCCTGGAATTGCGACGCGGGCGCTGCTCACGCGTGAACCAGCCCGCCCGCCACCCTCTCCGCTCGCCCAAGCGCCGAGGGTTGTCACTGTTCCCGTTACAAATACGCGGGAAACGAGGATCTCGAAGCATCGAGCGGAACTTGATTAACTGTGTCTCAAATTTACACACATCAGCGATCGGCACCTTTTTCCGCGGCAAGACTCCGTTTCTCTATGACGATCCGTCAACCCCGAGGTTCGTCTATGCGCGTGGATATTGTAGGCAGACTCATTACGCGCGCACTAGTTACACGTTAATTTGTCGCTTCATTCGGATTAGATTTCGAACAGTTTTTGAGCACTTTTTTTAGAGGTTTTGAGAAGAACCGTTTATCCACGATCTTGAGGGAACTGTTAGAAAAACTGCCGGTAGATAAAGTGCTCAAAATCTGTGATGTCATAAGTGTCAGGAATTTCGGTGGTTTAACGACTGCACGAAATGGGACTATATTTTGTATTATAATTAATTAAGTGAATGGTACAGAGAGAAGAAAATATAACTTCTTCAACGTTCGATTTATCTTGCTCTCTTTTGAAGTTCCTGATTTTATGAGTGTTAGAAGTTGTAGTAATTAAATAATAAAAAAACGAATACAACTTTTGTACAATAAGTAATTTAATAAATGTTACGGAGAACAGAGTACGAGTTCCTCATCTTATACAATACACGGCTACCGGACGATGAATTTCCCTAAGTTCATTTGCTAACATATCGATCGTACCGATCGTATTTCCAGAAGAAGAAGTGCCAACTACAGGGTTCAACAGCAGCTGTGTTTCTTGATACCGGTAAATCTATTTTTAAAAACAGATTCTTAAATCAGTAGCACAGTGGCAAAATAATTACAAAGTCTCTGTTGAACCGTTTCCGTGATGTACCTTTGCTCGAATCGTTTCGAATCGGTCGGACGCATCCGGCAGAATTTGACCAAAGTGTTGACGCGATTTGTCGTTCGCGGCAAAAGCCGTTTGGCACGCGTTTCGCAGTTTGTTCTGCAAGATTCTGTCAGCGGCACGCTCGATTTATCCGGTGCAGCCGCGATGTTTATTATCGCGTCCGCGGAACAATCGCGGCACTCCGTTTCAATCTGATTCCCTCTCATATTTTCTGAGATTTTTCGGAATTTCATAAATCACAGGATCCCCGTTCCCCCCCTCGCCCGACTTCGTATTAATCGGACGCACGGCGGGAATAATAACGAAAATGGCAACTGCTCCATTTAATAAAACGGACACGGGCGCGCGAGCCCGCGTTTTTAGGGAAAACGCAATAACGCGTGTAACGAATAAAGCCCCGACTGATATACAAACTGGTAAATCGAGCTCGCGAATTAAAATGGATTGACCGGCCGCCATTTTTCATGATAATCGGGCTATGAAAATTTGTCGGGGCGGCGCGGCGGAGGGTGATCGCGTTCCAGTCCGGATATTTGAAGCAACAGCGCGCAAACATTTGCATTGTTTGCAATGCACGTCAGGAATTATATGTATTCTGAAAACAGTATTGTTGATTTAGCTTCATATTAAAAGCTCCGGGAGCAACGTCCGTAAACATTATGGTAGCAGAAAGGTACTAGCGAACGTCGATATAAAATCTGTAGTTTCTCTCGCGATCTAATAAATCCCTTACAATATAAATTTCAATATAATTCGTCGGTCCCGTAAATACCGGATCCTATAAGCGCGACGGACGCGTTCGCTACCGATATTATGTATTTAATCGGAACGATCCTTTGTGGTGGGTGGTCGTTTCCGCGCGCGCAAAAAAAAAAATGTAAATAGTCCAACAGAAGGCCGACCAATTTGGAGGTGCTTCGGTTTGCTGTTTTTTCCCCCCATCAAATGCAGCCTGAGTAGAGCAATCACGACTAGTTGCAACTCGAGATTCGTTAAAGCGGGAACATTGTTGCAACGGAGAGAATTGAACGGTGTAGCAATGTCTGTTCTATAACGACTTTAGTTTATTGTGAACGTATTCGGAAATAAAAGACCTAACTAATTG